GGGTGGGGGGTGGGCGGGGGTCCCTCCCGCTCAGGCTCCTCCGGCACTGCTGCGGGCGGCCCCCAGCCCTGCACCACTCTCGGGGATTCTTGTCCGCGGACTTGCCACCACAACCCTGCGGGGCCTGAGGCTGTGCGGACTGGGCGGCTTCTCTCCGCAACGAGGGGCCTGCTCCGTGGCAGAGGGTGCCCCCCGCGTTGTCCCTCCCAGGCTCCTGTCTGTGCAGCTGGGAAACGGGGCTTTCCATACCTACGTGCACACAGGAGGTTCCCGCAGGATTCTCGGATAAGCGCCCTCACCTCGGTTCCAGAGCGGTGTCTCCCTGAAGCCCCCCCTGCCCAGGCTCCTGCTGCCTGCACAGCTGCCCTTGGAGTACACAGGGGTGCTCAGGGGACCCTGCCTGTCCTGCTGGGGGCATATCCACGTCCACAGGCTGGGTTCCTGACTTGAACTGGAGAGACCAGGGAGGGGTCTTCAAACCTGAGCTGCACTTAGAGGCCAAGAAGCAAAGCTCCTCGTGTCCCCACTGCTGATCTGGACGGGAACCGGGTAGAGGGTCCCCCACCTCTTCCGTGATCCAGCAGCCTGACCAGCACCAAATCCCCTTCACCCCTTTGGAGCAGACACACATGAGGCGCATGCTCTCAGTGCAAATCATTTATTCCGGCTTCTTCCGGTGGTACTCAGGGTCATCAGGGCACACTGAGCCCCACACAGCACCGCGGTAGGCCTGGGGCACAGCAAGGCACAGAGGTGAGTCCTGCATCAGGTGACACTGCCGGCCAAGGACTTCTGAGCACCAGGAGGAGGCCAGGCACTGGCCAGGGGTGTAGGGACCCCCGAGGGACAAGCAGCTCCAGTGTGTGTTGAGAGGGTACAGACTGACCCCAGTGTGGGCCTTACGGCCGGTTCCTCGCGACATTCACAGCACAGGGGTGAAAATGCCCCTCAGCGCGTCCATGAGCAGCAGGCCAGCCTCACGGCTCCAAGGCATCCCATTCCTCACGGGCCTGTCAAAGGGGCCCCCAGGGCAAGTGTCCACCAACCACACCAGAGTCTAGCCCCCCCTTTGCTCTGAGAAAGGCCAGAAGCTGGAATGGCCTCAGGGCCTGGCTGTTGCCCTGAGGCCACCGCAGGCCCCAGGGAGATGTGCAGACAGGGTGGGTGCAGATGGGACGAGGGAGGGGACTTCTGCAGGCTGGGGCTCTTCCCAAAGCCCCGGCCCCTCCAGCCAGGTGTGGACAAGTGAGAGTGGTGCTGTAGGGCCCAGCTGTGCCCAAGGCAGCCCAGAGAGGCCACGGTGAAGGCAGCCGGCCATGAGCAAGACCCCAGTGGGGCAGAGCGAGGACCTGCGGGGACGTGGTGTGCGGCGCATGAGGGAGAGGCCCGGCCATCCCCTCACCCACGCACGTCCCTGGGCACGACGGAGACGAGAGGGGTCAGCGTGCAAACCGAGCGAAAGACCGATGTCCCACGGTGTTTAATCTCAGCAGCTGGAGCCCCTCGCACCTCGCTGGCCACCAGGCGTCTAGGCCTCGCTGCGGTACCGCAGGCGGGAGAACCGGTCCCGGACCGCCTGGTCACTGTCAGGCCCGCCCTCGGCCAGGCGAACCACCCTACTGCTCGGGACGAGGTCCCGCACCTTGTGCTTGGCTACAGAGACCACGCCAGGAGCGTCTTGGCGAGTGGGGCCCGTCAGGAGGACGTAGGCAGCGTGGCGGCTTGGCTCAAACAGGACCGCTACAGGAGACACAGCCGTCGCGGCAATCAGGACCGGCCAGAGGAGACCCGGCAGGAGGCAGGCCCTCGGCCCACACGAGGCCGCGCTCACCTTGGAAGGCAACGATGTTGGCGGAGATGTTGGCCAGCTCCAGCAGGACGCCGGGCACAGTGGGGTGGAACATGTACAGGCTGTGCTGGGTGTCTCCGGGCTCCTAGAGCAAGAAACGGCAATGGAGCGTGAAGCCGATGAGGCCCGTGGCTGTCACCAGCGCCAGATCGGAGAAACTAAGCGTCCTTGGCTCACTGCCGGGCCATGTTGTGCCTGCCGTCACAGGACACCGTGACAGAGTGACCCTGCCCAGAGCTGTGTCCACAGGGTCCTCCACTCTGCACCCACCTTCCGTTCCTTTTCTTCTGACCTGACCCTGATCCTTCTCAGGAATGCTCTGGTTGGAAATCTGCGCCTGCCCTCCTTGATGTACCCCCGCTTCTTCCCCAATCCCCGTCACCTGCTTGAGGCTGACGCCGGCCCTGGCCTCCTTTGTGGCCCACCCACCGTCCCATGGCTTCTATTTATGTGTGCACATGCAGCCACCCATTTAGCTCCCAGGTGCCTCAAGGCAGCACCCAAGCCTGGCCTCTGGTCTCTGGCCCTGGCATGGGCGTGTCCCCTCTGCGCCTGCCCCACCTGTACTGTCTGGTTGGTGCCCATCAGCTCGTGGAGACCCCAGAAGAAGAAGGCTGAGCGGTGGTCTGCAGTTGGCAGGCTGGCAGACTGCGGGTCCCCGGGGAGGCCCGGGAGGGCCTGGTTCCACAGGACGGCCCCCGTGCTGAGGTCCAGGAGCAGGATCTAGGGTGGGAGGGGGACAGTGTAGAGGGTTGCGGGTGGGGCTTGCACAGGCCCACGGGCCCCAGCTAGGCCAGCCCCGGAGGAGCTACTCCCCGAGGGCCACCAAGGTATCTCGCTGAGGCCTCTCCTGTTCCGGCTCAGTCTTCCAGAGCGGCCCCGTGGGCTGTGCAGACTGACGTCCCTCAACTATGAACAAAGGTGGGGCCTCGAAAGCAGGTGCAGCCAACCTGTCTGTCAATGCCGGTTCCATTTTCAATGACCACAGCCAAGGTGTCAGGTTTGTAGTAGCCAAGGATGGGTCTTCTGCAAGAAGACAGGGCAGGAGAGCTCGCACAGGACCTCTGTGAGGAAATACCCGGGCACTGGTATACCCCCCGGTCTTCCCCTTGGCCACACCTGCCCACACCAGGGCCAGCACGGAGGCTGAGGCCAGGGCTGAAAGGACTGCACCGGCTCCTCCAGTGCAAGAGGGGTGACACAGTGTCACCAGGTGATGGGCAAGAGGCTTTGGGCAGAAGCACACAGGCATCCCCCCACCAACAGCAGGCCTCGTCCCAGGGCTGCAACCAAGGGACAGGCTGAGCGCGCCTGGCCTGCAATCGCTGCGCGGTTCCTGGAGAAAGACGCTGTACCTCAGGACCCGGGCTGCGCTGAAGATCCACCTGGGTGCCAGCTCCTGCCCGTCCAACAGCACACAGGCTTCTGAACTCACGAGGAGCAGGTCCTCACCCACTTTCCCTGGAACGGTCATCAGGTAGCGGATGGCTCCAGGGCTAAGGGAGGAGAGAGCCAGAGGCATGCGGCTGGGACACAGAGGTAGGCAGGACCCACCCCCACGGGCTGCTTGCTGGGCTGAGTCTCTCCAGCTCCCGGCTCAGCCCACGCTCCCTGCTTCTCTGGTTTAAGAGGAGTCAAGACCCTGGCTGTGTACAGAGATGAGGGTGAGCCCACTGTCGGGGACCTACCTTCCCATTGGCCTTTTCTGAGATGCTGTAGGCCCGCTTCCTGAGTCTGAGCCCAGGGCAGCCCTGGAGCCCAGCACCAGGCAGGGCCTCGCCCCTTGGCCTGCTCGACGGCTCCAAGCACTGGGACGGGACCACCTGTGCCATCCGCCACCCAGACCAACCTGCGCCAAAGCAGCCCGTGGGTGGTGGCGTTGAGCATGCCCTCCCAGAGCGGGTCTCTCTTCAGTGGGCTCCCTCTCCCGGTCACCGTCTCATGGAGACCCTTCACAGAGCGACCACAGAGGGAGCTTGCTGTTGGAAACACAGAAGTGCCTCGAGTTGCTGCTGGCAGGAAGGAGTCCCCTCACGAGCCCTGCTGCCGGGACACAGGTGTCCTCCTTGAGCCTTGGGTGCGGAGACCCTCTGGTTTCTGAGCCTGTCAGTGACCAACTCGTGTCTCTCCTGTAAGGGTAGGAGTTGATATGCCTCCCCACGGTCCCAACCCCACCCCCAATCTGCTTTCTCAGAGGGGCGTGGCTTCCGTGAGAGGGACAGTCCTGGAAACGGCAGGCACGACATACCGCAAGGGAAAAGGATGTAGTGAGCACCCATCCTGGTGACATGGAGGAGGGAGCCACTGGTCCCACCCACACCAAGGCTGCCTCGGTGGCCAATCTGGTGACCAGTGCTGCCTGAATAGATGTAGCCGCTAACCTGTAACACAGAGGAGAGGGGGGTAAAACCTTCCTGGGAGACGCTGGCAGCCCCATGCCAGCCTACAGGGCCCCACCCCCGAGGCTGCACTGGTCCAAATGGCTCTGCCATTCTTGGGAAGGCCCAGAAGCTGCCCAACAGGGACAGAGCCGCCCCAGCTGGCCAGTCGGCAGGTACCAAGAGCACAGGGCCCTGAGTGAGGCCCCTGACCAATGGTCAGACCCAAGTTCTGCCAAGAAGTGAAAGCGGACCGGGGCGCCTGGGTGGCTCAGTCGGTTAAGCGTCCGACTTCAGCTCAGGTCACGATCTCGCGGTCCGTGAGTTCGAGCCCCGCGTCGGGCTCTGGGCTGATGGCCCAGAGCCTGGAGCCTGCTTCCGATTCTGTGTCTCCCTCTCTCTCTGCCCCTCCCCTGTTCATGCTCTGTCTCTCTCTCTCTGTCTCAAAAATAAATAAACGTTAAAAAAAAAAAATTAAAAAAAAAAAAAGTGAAAGCGGACCAAGGGCAGAGAAGAGGCCTGATGGTGAGTGGGCCGCGGTGAGCCAGCTGGTGGGGGGAGCGGTACCTCCTTCTCCTCCTGGGTGAGAACCAGCAGGTCTGGAGCCCCGTCAGCATCGACGTCGGGCAGTCGGAGTAAAGAGCTCAGGATGGAAGCGTTCCCTCCAAAGCTACTGGGGTGGCTCCACAGGGTCTCCCCTAAAACCAAACATGTCGCTTGAGCGCTGGCCTCCAAATCCCCTTCTGCCTCATCCTGGCAGTCGCACAGCACCCACACGGAGAAACAGAAACGCCCGCCGGTGGGAAGCCAAAGGCAAGTGCAGCGTGCACACCACTGGCTGTCCAAGATGCGGTCACGCACCAGGGTGTCAGAAGCATTGTTTCTGGAACCAAAGAGCTCCGTCTTCCTTTGTTTTTCATCCATGTCTTCTCACGTTTGGTTCTAGAACATCTGAAGGCCAATCCTGACCCTCCCGCCTGGATGGACAGGGCTTGACCTCGACACTTCCCAAGCGCCTCAGGACCCCTGACTACCGCTGGGATCACAGGTGGACCCCTGGCCTCCATGAAGGCGCCTGCGCACAGGAGGCAGAGAAGGAAGGTGCGTGCTTATGGCTGGACCCACAGAAGCCCAGCTCTGACAGAACAGCTTCTTTCTTACCCAGGTACAATCTTGTCCACGCTCTTTCTTAAGACGAATTCCTCTGTCCTTAAAGTTTTCCAGGCTGCTCTTTGTTTTCCTCTATACCCTCAAAACCACAACTGGTAAGGGAAATGCTAATGCTCAGCACATCTAGTGTCAAGGCGCAGAATTCCAGAAGACCCCGGTGAGGGATGGGGCTAACCACAACCTGTTACATTAAGGCCCGGGTACAGACACCGTGCATCCAGAGCCCTGGGAGGCCAGGACCTCCCCTGTGGGCTCAACCCAGGCGCTGGCCTGGGTGCTGCGAAGGGCAGCCCCTCTGAGCTCCCCGTCTCTGCTGGCCTGGCAAGACTGAACCAGGAGGTGCCAAGACAGGGTGAAACGTGACGGCTACATCAGGGTAGCAGGGCCTGACTGCCAGGAGGCGGTGTCCCCACGGAGGCTCCCTCCCACTCTGGAAACCGTCTTCCCTATCCCGCCCACTGGCCCCGAGAACACGGCTGAACCTCCTGAGGGCTGCCTGGTGTGGGACCTCCCGTGCGGAGCCGCCTACCTGTGAACACGTCCACAGCGACGAAGGAACTGGGTCTGCCCACGAGGATGCAGGCAGACGATGTCCTGCCGCCCTGTGGCTGTGGGACAGCACACTGCACAAGGGCGCCGTCTTGGGCTGCGGGCCTCTCCCAGAGCACGCTGCCATTGGCCCCTGACACAGCGGCCACAAAGGTGCAGGGGGAAGAAAAGCCTGGAGGGGAGAGACCCAACTCTGTGGGGCGCGACAGGCCCTCTTCCCCACACCCCACTCCCGGGCCCAGGCCGCTACCACTGGGCTCACGGGGACCCTAGTGCTGGCCCCATGGGGTCAGGAGCCGCACGGAGGCCAGGGTGCTGGGACCAGGGCTGCCCCCTTGTCTCCTCCTAGTCCTGCTGGGAAGGGCAACGTGCCGGGTTACAGAAACGCCACCATCTGTTTTCCTCAAAGATGGCAAAGGGGGGAGGATCCCTCCACCCACAGCAAGTTCCTCCTTTTTCAGATAAAAACAGTTACCTTCGTCAGCGCAGGACAGGTTGGAATTGTTGCTGCTGTTGGTATTTTTATACAGAAAGAGAACGTCTTGGATCCTGTCCCTGTTTATGTCTTCTGTAGCCAGAAAGTCATAGGTGACTGAGAAAGAAAACCACAGAGTATAGTCCTCAGGCCGTGCCCGGTGTAAAGGCCAGGCCAAGTCTGACATGACTCACTTCTTTTTTTTTTTTTAATTTTTCTTTTCTTTCCTGAGTCATCTCTACACACAACATGGGCTGGGGCTTGAACTCACAACCCTAAGATCAAGAGTCGCACACTCTTCCAACTGAGCCAGCTGCACGCCCCTGGCTCGACCTACTTCTGTGCTCCCTGAGGCTTGGCACCAGTTAGCACCTGCCAGCATGAGGCCGCCATAAGAGCAGCGGCTTCTTCCGAGCACACGTGTCCTTCACGAACACGACAGATGAAATGTCAGGCATCAGCAGGACGCTGGGGTGCACACATGCGTCCTCTGAACACCTTTTATTCAGGAAGGAATCCCTCCCGACATCAGTCTGGGGTCCAGGAGTCCGCACCCCACTACTCGTAAGGGTCTAGGTCTTCCCTTCGTTCAAGGACTCAAATCGAACACCAAAAGAATGAAGCTGGGCCCTTATCCTACACCGTATACAAGAATGAACTCCAAATGGATCAAAGACCTAAATTTAAGAGCTTCCTAGAAGAAAACATAGAGAAAAGTCTTCATGACACTGGATTTGGTAATGATTTCTTGGATGTGACACCAAAGGCACAGGCAACAAAAGAAAAATTAGGCAAATTGGAGTTCATCAAAATTTAGAACTTCTGTGCATCAAAGGACACTGGCAAGAGTGTGAAAAGGCAACCCACAGAGTGGGAGAGAATATTTGCAAATCAGATATCTGATGAGGGACTGATACCCGGGAGAGAGAACTCCTGTGACTCCACAACCCAGTGTAAAAACAGGCAAAGGACTCAAAGAGACATGTCTCCTAAGAAGAGAGAGAAATAGCCATGGCACCCGAAAGATGCTCAACATCAGCAGCAATTAGGGAAATTAAATCAAAACCATAAGGAGACACTACCTCATACTTTTACCCAAAATAACCGACAACAGGGACTCGATTCCCACACAGCCAAGTTCACTGCATTACTCACAGCAGCCACCAGGTGGAAACATGCCAAGTGTCCACCAAGAGAAGAAGGGATAAACCAGATGCAGTCCACACACAGTATATAAGATTCTCCCATAAAATGGAAGGAGATTCTGACACCTGTTACGACACGGACAAGCTCGAAGGGCATTAGACTCCGTGAAAGCAGCCAGATACAAAAGGGAAAATACTGTATGTACAGAGTTTCTGTTGAGATGATTAGAACTTCTGGAAAGGGGCACCTGGGTGGCTCAGTTGGTTAAGTGTCTGACTTAGGCTCAGGTCATAATCTCAAGGTTTGTGATCATGCCAGCAATGTGGAACCTGCTTGGGATTCTCTCTTTCCCTTTCCCTCTTCCCCTCCCCTGCTCGCATGCTCGCTCTCTCTCTCGCTCTCTCTCTCTCAAGATAAATAAATAAACTTTAGGGGGAAAAGTGGACTAGAGACCTAAGTTGAAAGGCTAAAACTATAAAGTATCTAGAAGAAAATACAGGGAAAAAAAACCTTCACGGCTTTAAATTAGGCAGAGTTCTTGGCACCAAAAGCATGATCCATAATAAAAAATATACACCTGACTACATCAAAATTTACATCTTTTGTGCTTTTTTGGAAGACACCTTCACAAAAGTGCAAAGACAAGCCACAGACTGGTTGCAAATATTTGCAGATCATGTATCTCATAAAAGACTTGCATCTACAATATATAAAGAACTTGTATAACTCAAAAATTAAAAAATCCTGTCTTTTAAATGAGCAAAAGATTTGAATAGACGTATACCAGAGAAGATTCAAGAATGGGAGACACACTGTGAAGAGGTGCTCAGCATCGTTGGTCACGAGAGAAATTCAAATTAAAACCACGACGGGACACCACTTTATACCCTCTGCTGGAACCAGAAAGGCAGATAACAACGAGTATTATCAAGGACGTGGAGAATCTAGAATCCTCTCCAGCCCGATATAATTATACAGCTCGACATTTACCAGGAAAGCTAAGCACGAACTTACCATCAGCGTCAATAGTTTCACCTCTAGCAACCTACCCAAGAGACATGAGAACACGTGTCTGTGCAAAGACTGTCCGTAAATGTTCACGGCAGCGTTAGCAAAGCCAAACGATGAACAACCCAATACCCACCAATGGGTGAACAGATGAACGATGCGGCCCACCCCCATGGAGGAGCCCTGCTCAGCACCAGAAAGAACAGGGGGACATGCCGTGAATAGGGGGACAGACTTGTCTCCGTGCGGGAGGCCAGGCTCCCAGATACAGGTCTAGTGGCTTTGTTCACGTGAAGTATCCAGAAAAGGCAAGTGTGTGGACACAGACAGCGAACAGTGGCTGCCTACGTTGGGGGAAGGGGAGTGGGGAGGACAAGAAATCTTGTCGGGATGACGGAAATCTGCTACAACTGGAATGTGCTGATAGGTGCACAGGTGCTCTGTGAATTGACTAAAAATCACTGAGTCCTATACTTAAAACAAGTGAATCTTTTGACATATAAATTATACCTCAACAAAAGCTGCAAAAATAAACACAGAGACATACATTATTCCTCCTTCTCAAAATGAAGCATGAAACCTGAATAAAACGGGTTGTGGGGGTTAGATGAGAAACCCCCTCTTCCGCCCCCAGCCGCGGTCACGGAGCCTCGGCGGTGCCCACTCGTGTGCACACTGCAGGCACCCCCACTGTGAGATGAGGCAGAGTGTCGAGTGGGGCTGACTCGATGGCTTTTCATAAAGGCCACGATTCCACACTGTGGATTTCATGAGAGACACCGAGTGTGCTGGATCCGGCTCAGCCGCCCGCAAGTTAGCCGGAGCGCTTCAGGAGACCCGACTCCCAGATCTGCGGATTTCAGTTCACCACGGCCTCCCCTCTATCTGTGCTGCCCGGTGCTGTTTTATTAATTTTTAAAAATTCCAAAATGTAACCAAATGGGCGGCTTTCCTTGATTGACCCAACCCATCCTTCCTAAAAGGAGAGCAGGCCACCACGCTGCCAGGGTGGTGCCCCACGTTTGCCGAGAGGCTGCTCTACAGGCCTTACGGTCCCAAGAAAAACCTGGACGCGGGACTGGCAGCCGCTTCGGGCTGATTCTTGCTTGCAGGCCACCCTGGACTTCAACGCTCCCCTCCGCCCACTCCCAGGCACACCTGCTGCGTTGTAGTAGACCCTCCATGTCCCCTGGGACGCGGGCCGGTCCGGACAGGGGATGATGAACGAGACCACGAACACCACAAAAAGGCAGACAAACAGTGAAAGAAAAAACGCCACTGTCCGGCAGCCGGAGAGGCCGGGCTGCCGAGGCAAGCCTTTCAGGTTGTCCTCCTTTGTCGTTTGGCTTCCCAGATTCTCCTGCAACCTCTTGTCTTCGTTCTTCAAGGGATGGATTTCAGCTTCTAAGTCCTTGCTGCCCATCATCGCGTGCACATCCCAGAGTGCCACTCCTGGTCACTGCATCAACAAAACAGGGACAGTCAAAAGGTTGCCGCACCGGACAGCCGTCCGGGGCTCCGCTGCGTTTGGCCTCTCAGCCCGGTTGCAGCCGTGACTGCGGGCCACCGGCCCAAGAAACAAAAGCTCCACGAATGTTTAGGGTGTCACAAATGCCACCCAAGAAAATCTTTAATTGGCAGACCGGTTGTGTGGAGCCAGCGGGCAGGGAAAACTTTCACCCCTCACACTCCAGTGTCTCCTGCCTGCTGACGCCGCGGCAAGCCCAGGGAGGGCAGGGCGGGGCTGGGGCCAGGCTGACAATAGTAAACCCATGTGTCACACATTAACAAGCCTGGCCAGCGCAGGTCTGGGCACGCCCGACCTGCCTCCCACCAGCCTGAGGTATCGATGGAAATGGTGGCCTATGTGGGAAGGTTGGGGTAGCTTTAATTAAGAAAAAAAAGAGAGAGAGAGAGAGGGGTGCCTGGGTGGCTCAGTCCGTTGAGCATCTAACTCTTGATACCAGCTCAGGTCGTGATCTCGCAGTCATGAGATCGGGCCCGGCACCGGGCTCCACGCTGAGCGCAGAGCCTGCTTGGGATTCTCTTTCTCCCCCTCTCTCTCGCTGCCCCTCCCACTCCCGCATTCTCTCCCTGAAAATAAATAAGTAAACATTAAAAAAGAAAGGAAAAGGAAGATGACAAGTGTCAGTGAGGATGTGGAGAACGTGGGACCCGGTGCAGCTACTGTGGAGAACAGTCTGACAGCTCCTCAGACGTCTACACAGAATTACCCTATGATGCAGCAATGCCACTTGTAGGTATACACCCAACAGAACCGAAACCAGACTCACATAAAAACTTGTAAACAAGTGTTCATGGCTTCGTTATTTGTAACAACCCTAATGTCCCTCAACAGATGGATGCAGCAAACGCGCAAATCCACACAATGGAATAGTCTTCGGCGGTAAAAAGCAATCAGCACCGACGCCTGTGGCAACATGGATGAACCTTGGAAACATCGAGGCTCCGTGAGGTGCCCAGACTCCACACTCGGCACGTGGTATGACTCCGTTTACGTGAAATTGTTCGCAACAGGCAAACCCATAATGGCAGAAAGGAGATGGCTGGGTACCAGGGCTGGGGACAGGCAAACAGGGGAAGACTGCTAGTGGGTGCAGGGTTTCCCACTGGGGTGATAAAAACGGTGGCCATGACTGCAAAACACTGTGAATGTATTCCATGTCACTAATGGTAAGTTCTAGGTGTTAAACGTTAAGTGTGTTTTACCACAAGTTAAAAAGGAAACCAAACGAATCTGTGTGCATTCTCCCTAGCGCAGAGACATGACTTTTAAGGTCTTGGAAGTCAGAAAAGGTGTGCCTGTCCAAGGTAATGAGTTGGACACAAGAGAATCAAACAATGACTCATGACCAAAGACCTCATTAAACGCAAGCGGCTGGCATGGGGTGGGGGAGTGGGGCAGGAGCGTCTGGAGGAGTAGCTAGGCAAAGAGCGGAAGCAGAACCTGGGATCAGGCCTGACCTTCGGGAAAGATCTAGATGTTGTGTCTGCAAGGGAAGGATAGTGGACGCATTTACAACACACATTCCTTTGGCAAAGGACAGAAAACCGAATGAGAGATCAGAATGCTAAAATACTCCATTTTACAAGCTCTATCTGTGACGTTCTCTTACTTCAGAGCTTCAACACACAGGGCAGGAAGCTCAGGGTCTCTGAGCTGTAGCTGCCCTTATCTGTCAGAAGCAGGGTGTCCAGCAGGGCACAGTGGGAAGGCACCCCAAGACTATGTAAGAGCGAGGCCTCCATTCAGAGTGACACAACTACTCACACCCAGCCTACAGCCCTGGTTTCCCAGACCCACCTTGTGGGAGGAGCCTCTGGACAGCCATGGGCCCGACTGCTGACCAGTCTGCCCAGGGAAACTGCTTTCCGGAGCCCAGGCGACTAAGGAGCGTGAAGCCGCTGGTGACATGCTCTGGCTGAGGGACGCAGGTCCTCCCTGGCCCTGGTTCTTGGCCGTGGTTCCACCTGAGAACCACTTTCACAATCCTGATGCCACACCCCGACCACACCCCGAGTAAATCAATCTGGGCAGTGGCTCCAGGCAGGAGCTGTGGTTAAATGCTATGCAGGAGATCCCAGAGAGCAGCCAAGTGGAGCAGCACTGGCCACGAAGTCTGCCTTTCTCTGGCTCTGGTCACTCCCTTTTGCCACTGGTGACAATGAGATGTTGTCTCCTGTCTTCTGGCCCGTGAAGCAGAGGGAGACCCCACCTCCCACTGCCAGCCTGGAGGGAAAGCACAGCAAAGGGGGAAGGACTTCTCCCTTCAACCACGTTGCTGGACGCTGTTTTCTGGGCGTTCTTTTCCTTGGAATTCTTGGTAAGCTTCAGTAGAGCAAATCCAGATGCAGACCCCAGCCTAGGAGGCTGGACTGCTTCTTCCCTGATCAGTCTCTGAATCCCTAAGCTACAGGGGTCCCTAAGACTAACAACAGAAGACAGTGGCAAACAATGATTACAGATGTTGTTTGGGGTTTTAAGTCAGCAGTAAATACACATGATACATCTCCGAAAGGTGCAGAAGTATAAAGCTCACTCCCTTCCGCGGCCCTCAGGCTTGAGGGGAAGCGTGCTACTGGTTTCTTATGGCTCCCTCCAGAAATATTCTGTGCACTGTCAGGCATAAAGTGTGTTTTTAAAATGTGACTGGAGCAGTTGGCCTGTTATCTCAGTTGGTTAGAAGAGCCGAGTGATAAATCCGAAAATTATGTGGAAACTAAGCCCAGACTATTCCCTTGTTTCCCCTGCATGGTTTACGTTGCTAAATGAGACCAAATGGTGCATCTCATGGCAAGAACAGAGGGAATATTGTCATTTTCTCAATGACCTGGCTTTTGATTGGGAGCCCAGCTGAAAGAACACACATTTCCCCCACACCACTGCCTGTTTCCGTGACAAGACTTAGAAGCAGAAAGGGAAAAAACCCTCCATATGGTCATCAGTAACAGGAGGTCGGGTGATGTGCCTCTTGTCGGCATCTACAACCTGGCCGTGCATCAGAGATGCGGGAACAGGAGCCCAGGGCTTCCAGAGGTGAGCTCCCCTCCCCAGAGGCTCAGCTGGGAGTAAACCAGTACCGCTGTGGGCTAGGGAAGCAGCTGTAGGAGACATTTTTGTGGGAAGCATCATTTGAAATGACAGATGTTGGCGTCTAAAACTGAACCAGCCACTAAGACATGTGCAAGGGCACAAAACTGATCTGAAACTGGGGTGCCTAGAGGGCTCCATAGGTTAAGCATCCAACTCCTGATTTCGGCTTGGGTTGTGATCTCACGGTTCATGAGTTCAAGCCCCACGTTGGGCCCTACACTGACAGCACAGAGCCTGCTTAGGATTCTCTCTCTCTGCCCCTCTCCAGCTCTGTCTACATAAAACAAACAAACAAACAAACAGCAGCTTTCTGTGCTGTTGTTTTTAAAATGTAGCCATTTGACTATTTTGACTTTTTATTTTTTTTAAAGTAATCTGTGTCTGACATGGGGCTCTAACTCACGACCCTGAGATCAAGAGTCACACACTCCACCAACTGAGCCAACTAGGTGCCCTTAAAAACCTTTTTTTTTTTAAGTTTATTTATTTATTTTGAGGGGTTGGGGAGGCGCAGAGAGAGAGAGGGAGAGAGAGAGAATTCCAAGCAGGCTCTACACTGTCAGTGCTGAGCCCAACACAGGGCTCGAACTCATGAAACCACGAGACGATGACGTGAGCTGACATCAAGAGTCAGATGCTTAACTGCCTGACCACGCAGGCGCCCCCTATTTTAACTTTTTAAACACGTGTATCTTTCAGCAAGTGCATTGATGGGTCTATTATTGGTGATACTGGCTCAATAACCTCTTGTGGTTGATTATAAGTCATTGGACTGAGATAAGCACTGTAACAGTACATGTTGCTAGTTATGAAATCATCATAAAGAGAGGGGGCTCGTGGGTGGCTCAGGCAGTTGAGTGTCCGATTCTTGACTTTGGCTCAGGTCATGATCCCAGGGTCGTGGGATTGAGCCCTGCACTGTGCTCCATGCTAAGCATGGAGCCTGCTTGGGATTCTCTCTTTCTCTCTCTCTCTCCTCTGCCCCTCTCTCTGCTCATGCTCTCTCTCTCTCAAAACAAAACAAAACAAAACAAAACAAAACAAATCATAATCATAAAGAGAACATTCTGTCATGCTCCAGAACCTGTATGTACTTTGGGCCGTAAGAACTGACAGTTTTGGGGCACCTGGGTGGCTCAGTCAGGTAAGCGTCCGACTTTGGCTCAGGTCATGATCTCATGGCTCATGAGTTTGAGCCCAATGTTGGGCTCTGTGCTGACAGCTTGGAGCCTGGAGCCTGGAGCCTGCTTTGGGTTCTGTGTCTCCCTCTCTCTCTGCCCCTCCCCTGCTCATGCTTTGTCTCTCTGTCAAAAATAGATAAACATTAAAAAAATTAAAAAAACGGATAGTTTTATAACTTTGTAAACTGCTATTTATGTGTGAAACAAAGCAGGAAAACATATTGAAAAGGGGTTATGTTTACATAGGACTTACATAATGTGTGATTTTTCTTAAATGTAAACATTTTTAGTGCATATCTATGGACATTAAGTAAAATAATAACACAATTCCAGTGTTGTGCATGTTGTCAATAACAAAAATAAAACCAGTATGATAGTTTAAAAAAAGAGAAAGATTATTAGCACCAAAATAAAAGAATTAATTTCTTTCTTCTTGATTTAAGTCACGAGGAAGGGCACAGTCCAGCGGAGCGGCTGGACCTGGAGGTTCACGCCCTATCTGGGGCACCTTGGCCGTATTACCTAGCCTCTGTGTCTGCAAGCTTCTTCCTTGCTCAAGAGATCTTAGCAAATTTAGATAGAAAGGCACTTTGTTGAAAAGAGATTGGACTGTACCCAGATTGATGGGAA